GGTTTCCATAATACTTATCCGCTNCCCCCCCCCCCACACACACACACACACACACTCCCCAAGGGAGGCGAGTGCTCTTGTTGTAGGCCCTGTCCACACTAATGGGTATTCAAAAGTTTGCGTTTTCGTTGTCATCGATCGATTGGTGTCCACACTTCCATTTTGATGCGTTTTCGACTGTCCACACTAAACGTTAGAAAACGATCGAATTGCACTTTGTGACGTAAGTTGAACTCTGTGCGCACGCTATAAACACACGCGCCTGCAACGTTTTCGACCGCCCACTAGTACAATATGTATGCGCTTTCGTTTTGATCCACCTTCAAGAGCGTTTTCATATCGATGAGTTTTCGATGAAAACCGTGAGCGTATTATTGTGGACGGAAGGCCTATTAAAACGGATCGAAATGCATGTGTTTCCAAACGAAAACGCCTTAGTGTGTACCCTGCGCATAACAATCCCGCCAGCTAATCAGACTACTATCAAGAAGTATTAAACAGTCCTACAGTTGTTTGTCCTTCCTGCTTTTAATTGGCCAGCTCGTAAATGCGGAGATGTTTAGTTGCAAAGCGGTTCAAACATCAAACTACGGTACAACGATTCCTGGCAGCCATGCGGCAATGAAGTGTTACGTGTTAAATGAACACCATCGTTCCCTATTTTAGTAAAGAGGATTTGAAAGCTTTTAATTCTCTTTGGTCCATTATTTTGTGTGTTCGTTATAGAATACCCTGCGCTCGGTGTGGTGAGCTCTCTTTTTTCAAAAATAGCGTCAGTTAAAATTTCGTGACGAGCCATTCGTACATGAAACGTAATGTTGACCGCTTTTAAGCCAATCTTGATGAAGTACAAAATTCGGTGGCAAGCCCATCACATGTGCAGTCTGTACAACATGTAAACTTTGTACCTTATATTAGAAATCGCACCCAAATCACTGAATACAGCAAGACCTTATTCATTGCTCTCTGCATATACGAGTTAAAAACCAATGCCTGCAGAGATAGCAAGATAGCAAACTTTGATCGCTATGCTTGTACAGTCTTTTATTGTTTTGATTGCACATGTAGCTTGCGAAAACAGCCGTTTCTCCTCGCTCTTTGCAGCAGAGGACGTTTCGCGAGGATAACGTCGTTCCTCCGCGGAATATGTCCCTAGCGGCGAAGAAGGGGGAGAAACTGCTGTTTTGCCAGGCTATTGCACATGTAGATCTACCCTGGGTACCAGAGGTTTTCTCTCGCGTGAGGCGATTGAGTGCGGACATAAGAGATGCTTCGGGGTCGGCCCGGCCGGAGACACGAAAAAGGACTTGACCGAAACCGGAAACCGCACATGAAAAGTCACTGGTACCCAGGGATCTTAATCTGTAGTACCGTAATATAGATCTTCATAACAAGAAAAATACTCTTGAATATTTGTAGGTCAAACGCCCCGGAAGGTGGGATGAGAATCCAGACAAAGCAATCCTGGAGATGGCAGGTGTAACTACAAGTCACAGTCAAAGATAGCAGCTTCAGTGCATCATTTTTTTTCGCTGACGAGGAAACGTCGCATTGGGAATGTTTCGTCCTGCTCACTGTTAATTTCTTTTAAGTAATGAATACTGGAACTCCTGCTGAATCTTGATAAAATGGACAGAGTATTCAGAGGTTCTTCAGTTCCTCAAGAGATTTAAGTTTAATCAAGAAAACCTAGGGGTGAAGCTTTATGCTCCCTTAGTTAAATCCAAACCAAAGAGCCGACTTTTTTGGATAGCAAGGGCGTATTTGTGACTGACTGGCAATTCGTAAATTTCACCCTATATTTACTGGGTTAGTCATGTATGCGGTGCCCGCTACCCGCAGCTTAGAAGCAGGAAAACAATTCTACAGCAATCACTCCTCGTTCCTCGCCGCTAGGGACGTTTCGCTGGAGAGCAGTCACTCGGCGATTTGGCCCCAAAACCTTGTACTGCTGACGTTTTTTTGTCCGGAATCTGGTCAACGAGTACTGAGAAGAAATAGCCACGCGCGCGACTAAGGGCGCGAGACGGGAGTTGAAGAAAAATTCTTGTCGCAGTCTAAAAATTCAAGGTAGGACAAGACACGACAAGATAATTTATTTAACTCAGCTCAGTTTTATAGATGATACAGATATTAAATAACAACAATAGTGATATGTAAATAGAGAGTCATGAGTGATGGGCTCCTGAATGAGTGAGTTTTGATCATCGTATATAAAAGGCTAATGTAGTGGAATAACCCAATAAAAGACAATTTTTCACAGCACTGAAAAGACGTTCTCTACGTTTAATTTATTTCTTCATGCGCTAAGGTAGATAACTAATAGGCCATTTTCGAGTTCTCCCAGGCCTCTGTTTCAAAACGAGGGTAGGTGCTCAGCCTTTGATATGGAAATCATTTTTCATTCTCATGCAAATAAAACTCATTTTCACAAGAAAGGTTGTGCACCTAGCCTCATTTTGAAAGTGAGAGTTTTTGGAACTCGGAAGTGGCCTATTCGAATTGATTTCTTAAGGACTTTACTAATTCACCCTTGGGGAGCAAGGGTGTCGCAGTGGTGAGAGCACTTACCTCCCTCCAATATGGTCTGGGTTCAACTGTTCAAAGTTTTTTTTGGTCGTCAGTCAAACGAACGGAATTTCAATATCTTTTCTAACATTGGCAAAACTCCATTGGCTTCCGCTAGGTGAACTGGCTAACGCTTCGCCAAGACAAACTCCACCTACATGTCTTGGATTCCCCACCACCATCCCCCAAGAGTCTGCTTAGTACCTCCCTGCCAGTCCCGTACGTTCGGGTGGGCGTGGATAGGTTTCCCATTTTCTCTTAGGGACTTTAAGGTGATGTTACTCGCGACGATTCACAACGACGATTTTTAGTGCAACATAGTATTACAACACTGTTGCAACATCGTTTTGAATGGTTGCAACATTGTTCCTACATTGCGACGATGTGCTGCGCTTGAATTCGTCGTTTCGAATCGTCTCGTGTTAAGATAGGCAACAACGCGACGGCAACGAGAACGAACAAAAAAAACAAAGAATGGGTTTAATAAGCAAAACAGCAACTTCGCACGTGCGTCACGCCTTTCACATTTCTTTGCCGCTTTTGCATTACTACGACGTGAAAATGCCTCATTTCACGTTTAATGGAGAATGTAAAGAAGCAATGACGAAACTTTATTTGTCTCTCTGAACTTGGATATGGTCCCTTGGACTTCAACTTCAGGAGGGTTCGTCAAGATTTGACAAAGTAAGTCGGAGAGTCGTTTTAAAGACTAAAAGAACGTTAATTCACTTTTCAAGCGACGTTCTCGTTGCGGTCGCGTCTTTGGATCTTGAGGTCCCTAGCATCATTACGCACGAACTCGAATTGTATTGCTATTTGGTTTCCTGTCTTATATGTACATAGCCGGTTCTCCTTTTTCCGCTAGTGACAAGAAAATACTAAAGGAAATAAACGACAGTGTTTGAAACAAATATTTACGTTGCTAAGGTCAATTCGAGAAGTTTCGTCATTTTTTTAATACTTGGAATTGTATATACTAACTGTAAAAATGACAAAGTTAGCACTTAATTGCTAGGCTGGCAGCGTAACATCAATCTATACGGTATCTGTACATGTATATAGTACCAGTAACTCATAAAATTTTCTAGAAAAGTTGAATTCTAACAGTAAGGTATATTCTTCATTAGAGAACGTGACTATTAACGACAAGAAGCTTCTGGAAATAGCGTTGTGACACGCGGAATTCTTGAGGCACATGGCACAACAACATTTCCGGGGTCCAAGTTCTCGCGTCAACTACTTCATGCCAGTTTCTTTAGGATGACGTTAAGGAAACCTCAACCTAGAAATGTTGATTGTTTGTCATTTGCATGGGCAAACCGGTTGGCTCCCAGTTTGATGCAAATGTTATGCATAATTCAAGACTGGTAAATTTCGTCCGGGAATCGCGATTACCACATGTACAAATCAGTTCCGTTTACCGAAAAACGGCCGCTTAGGCCTGGGACTGGTACAAATATGGCTTTGAAGAAACGGAACCACGAATCTCCGTTTGGAACATTCCGTCCGGAAAAACAGGACTACCTTTTCACAGTACTAGTGTGTTTTCAGATGTTCCGTTACCCCCGGAAATTTTCTGCTAGAACGACCCAAAAAGGTGTGTTCCATTTAGTTTCCAAACGAATTTCTGGAAACTTTTTGTAAACGGTAAACAACCAGAGTTATATTCTGTGTGGTGTGGTTCCCTGGGAGCTTAAGCAACGACGACGCTGACGTGAGGCTGACGCGAGGACGGCAAAAAAACAATAGGTTTAGATTGGCAAAACAATCGATACAGCCTGTTAGAATTCATCTCCAGAAAAAAAATGCCAAAAATTTGACAAATTGAACGAGATGGAATAAGCGCGATTAAGTTTGAAACAGCGCGACTTCACTTTTTAAGGGACGTTTTCGTAGCAGTCGCCGTTTTTGTTGCTTAAAAGGGAGCAACGAGAACGGGAAAAAAAAACAATTGGTTTTGAAGTGTAAAAAAAAAACAATTTTGGACTTGGATCACACGTTTTTTGCGGGCAATGTGAAAATGGTGAATTCAAAATAGAAAGCAAAGGTACCTAAAGGGTCGATAAGTTTTAATAAAAGTTAAACAAAAAAAGTCAATTTTACGCTTTTTTAAGGTCAGTCTGCGAGTACGGTGGTCTTTCCTCGGGATAAAATGTTCGCTGTGGCTATATGTAAAATGTTTCAAAAAGGCGCAATATGAAGTTTATTCCAGTAAATAAGCTAAGTAATATCAGAGATGCGTGTCAAATGCCTTATTGAGCGCAATTTGTTTCCGCTGAGTTTTTCGCTGCTAAGTTTCTGAGTTGTTTCTCATTGTTCACCCAGTGTTTCCTTTTCGTAATTCTTCGAATGTGCCGTCGGAAATTACTACTTTGAAACGAGTACACGAAAGGGTTCACAGTGGAATGACTAACAGCCAAAAGCGCCAGGCCTTATTCCAGTACTTGAGAATGCTCGAGTACCCCAAAGGAACAGAAAACAAACCATGGAAGCCAACATATATTGAAAAGCAGAATAACACTGCCAAGGATTTTTGTAACTCGCTTCCGCGATTGTAGAAGCACTTGGTTTGTTGAAGGACTTTTTTCGTCGTGTTTACGCATCCAAAGATGAATGAAGATTTTTCCAAAAAAATATAGAGTTATAAACATCGGTATGAAATACATTAGCGTGAAAAGAGTTATCCTGTAGGCAAGAGGAAATTCTCTCTGCGGTAGCGTATTCCAACAGATAAGTTGTTCTGTCTGTTCTGTTCTAAACTCGTAGTTTTGGATAAAATACAAACATGGAACGAGAATGGTAAATGAGAAAGCCCATATGACTGCAAAAATGTATTTGAGTTTACCTTTTGTAAGTCGTGTCCGCCTTTCCATCGGTTTAACGACGCTTAGATATCGATCGTAAGCCAACACGGCCATGGTATAGATGGAAATTGACGCACTAAACAACACGATTCCATTTAAGACTCCGCAAAGAAGAGTGAATTCGTTTCCTGAACTGATGAGAACCAAAACTTCCAGAATTATATGCATCACACCGATCACTCCAACGATGACATCTCCAACAGCCATGTTGACTATCAGAATATTAGTAAAGTTCTGCAACTTCTTAGTTTTAAGCACGATCGCACATACGAATACATTTCCTACAATGTTAGCGATGAATATAATGGCA